AATTATGATTTTTATGTATCCAACAATTTGATTTATAGTTAATTTTGATATTATTATTTTGATATTATTTATTAAAGTATATTTATGAATATTATTTATTTTTATTTTATTTTATATTTATTTTATATATTTAATAATACAATTTACTTCATTACTTTTCAAACTATTCGCACCCTTTACTTTTTCGTTCCAAACAACAATTTTTCCTCCACTTACACTCCCACCAATTTACACTCTCTCCCATTACCCCCTCAAATTTGCAAACAAACTTAGCCTCCTTAGCCACAAACCAAACATAATACTGCAGCACGTATGCGTATGATTAATGATTCGAGAAAACTCATTTAATAATTCCGACATATTTATACAATTTTCAAGGTCTAAGGACCTCTTAAGAGTTAGGTTTGGCGTCCACGTCATTCTGTCAAACAGTTGAATTGATGTTTCTAAGGCCGAATTCCGACATATTTAATAAACCATTGACGAAACTATAACTGCTCTAGTGGGCAGACCCCGATAATTTTGAAAGTTACATCTAGTCTTCGTATGAACAGATTGACTCTAATCATATATGGACAAATAATTAACAATTTGGAGCCATATTGTACGTATATGACTCTGTCACCCTGTACTATACAAAAAATTAATACGATATAAGTTGATCTCGTCAAACTGTTACTTTCATGGGGATTATTGATTACATTTAACTACCATCATTAGCTCTGTATATAGAGCTCCATATATCGATCCATACAAATTAAGCATGCATTGATGGCTTTGAAGGGAATATCCATTAGCAGTATCAAAGCTTGGCTGCTTCTGATCCTCCTCTTCGTCTCCATGCTTCTGTTAGCTTATAATAACTCACATCATCAGAATCAGGTAGCAGCAGAACGGCCATTGATGGGTAGGGTTTCTTTCCTCATAAGTGTGCTCCTCTGTTTCTCCTGAATCTTATTTTCTCGTAAGCATGCAGTGAGACTTTGAGTTTAATTAAGACATGATGAGATGTTTTAAGTTTCAGATGGAAGACTGTTGACGATGATGATGGAGATGAAGACGAAGGCTCGTAGGAATAGGATACTGAGGGTATCTTCAAGAAGCGATGACCCTCACAATGGAAACTATGTATCTCCAATCCACAAACGCTAAATACTACTTAGCTTGATTGGTTCGAAGTTATGTAGCCATGGTGTGCCCTGTTCTGGAAAGTGGAAAGGCGGATGCTTCTTTTTTTCCCCTTCTAAATTAGGGTTCATAGACCTTTCTACGATGATGAATCACTTGCATCTTGCGTTTCCTACTCTTATTCTTAGACTCTGTATAATTAATTACATGTTATGGGGCGAGATTTGTATTATTGAGATAGCTGCCAATTATCAGAAATCATATATACATGTGACAAATTTTACAGATTTAGTTCAACCTAAGAATCTAATCCATCCATGAATCCATTTAATTCAATTAATTTAAGACTTTTTGTTTATGTACTATTTGTTGGGGAAATTGTTCACGTATACTATTTTCTTGCAACACAAGCAAACACATAAGATTAAGGAAAACATGTAAAGACACATGCAAGCGTCCTAGCCGATAGAATTCACTATCTCTCCTTAAAGAATCTTATTCCCCTCAAGTACCCAAGGTTGTGGAATGATTCCTCCCAGGATAGAAAGGACGTACCTTTTCCGGCGTAGCGGTACCTCAAACCCCGGAAACACCATCGAACGCAGCGAAACGGCGAGAACCACACTTGACTCTATTTTCTCTTTGAAAAGAATGCAGAAAACTAGTTTTGGATTTTGGCAGAATTTTGGTACCGGAAAAATCCATGTATATCTCGTAGTTAAAACAAGAGGGCGTATGGTGCTATTTATAGAAAATGAAGGGATGCATTGAAGGGAGGCAACTCTTCATATGGGTGGTTACACCCCAACCATTGCATTGGTTCGTTTAAAATATTTCAACCATTGCATTGGTTCGGCCTCATGGAAGTTGGACCGGTTTGGTTATTCCAACCGCCACATCGATTCGGTTCGATTTGGTTCAACTCGGTTTGGTTCATTTGGTTACACAAACCAATTTAACCAACTAACCACATATTACATCAAATCGATCGAATTCGAGGCCATGCCTTCTCACATCTTACCAACATGGTACTTCAAGAGACTCTCTTGAAACTTTCCCCTTTTATTTCCATTCACACCACTAAAAATCCCAACACTATTGCCAAATCATTTTATTTTTCTGTCTATATTTGGCAGCTCCCGTATAAAACTCGTATAACACATTTGATATCCTTATTTAATGAATTGAATTAATTGATTAAACATTATTTACATATTTTAAATTAATTAATTTTATATATTTACATATTTTACGTTACTTACAGGAAAGTAATCGTCTTGCCACTTATATACTTATAGACCAATTATTCGTGCATTCAAAGGTACATTTCACATCTAAATGTAAGGAAGTGGTAAAATAGCATACATGGGCCTCTCCCAACAACTCGAGTTATTGAGACCAGTTGGTTGATGACATGGTATCAGAGCTGGTTTGTCATTGAGGTCTCGTGTTCAAATTCTCATTGGGGGTTGCTATTCGTCGCCCTAAAATTTCTTATTCGTCGCCCTAAATAAATTAATTTTACCTTAATACTCATAGCAAATAACAGAGCAACCCAAATGAGAAAACTAAAGCTTTCTCTAGAAGTTCTTTCAACATGTTATGAATACGGCGAAAAACAGAATGCCATCTCTCATTAGAAGACCGAAGCTTTCTTACTTAGACATTACTCAAGAAGATTATGAACAACACATGAAAGTGGAATTTATAAATAACAGAAAGGAGAAAAAAGAGAACATAACATGCTGCTTCCCACTCCATCATTTCATAACTATAGTTGCAGTCATCTCCACATAATGCCAGAACTCAGGGATTGATTTTGTGACATTTACAAGAGACAGAGCAACATTTCATATCAAGTTAACGATGCCCTGTTTCAGTCCGGTTACGTTGCAACGGTGATGGAGTTTCTGCTGGGGTTGGCGACGAATCATGAGGAGAAGGCGCAGAACTCCTCGTCGTCGTTGAGCAGGCTCCGGCCGAAGTTAAGCGAGTAGCTGAGCGGGTCGTACCGACACTGGAACGACGACTGCCGTATTGATGTAGCGGCCGCGGTGGTTTTCGACCTAGGTGGTGGCGATGGTGCAATCGACGGTGGCGGTTCTGGGCCTCTGCCACAAATGGAGCCAAGCTTTTCAATGAAGAGGAAGTCTGCCAAGAAGATGCGGCGGCTGCGGCAGCAAAAGAAATGGGGTATGAGGGGTAAGATTGTCAATTTGATGCATTTTAGGGCGATAAAATTTAAATTTTAGGGCGACGAATAGCGATTCAGAATATTAACCGTTGTCTTCAAACACATGGTATGGCGGGCCTGTGCAAACTTCAAGCCCATGAGTCAGCGTGTAAGGAAGTGGTTAGATACCATACATGGCATCTCCCAACAATTCGAGTTATTGGGACCAATTGGTTTATGACAAATGTATCCTCCAAAATGCTTGGGTTTTACCCTTTCCAAGTCCGTTTGACAAATATTAATCGTTGTCTTCAAGCACGTGGTATGGCGGGACTGTGCAAACTTCAAGCCCATGAGTCGGTTTTCGTTTGAGTGGGCGTATGCGTAAGTGATTAAATATCATGCATGGCCCTCTCCCAACAACTCGAATTATTGAAAACCATTTGGTTTATGAATAATTTATCCTCCAAAATGCTTGGGTTTTACCCTTTCCAAGTCTGTTTGACCTCTATAGTTGCTACTAATTTGGCATGGTCAAGTTTCAGTGTTGAAAATTGAACCTATTGGTATTTTTATATTTCGAAACTCGACCTAAGCTCATCCAAATTATTTTAACATGTAGACAGTTTAGGTCAGAGTTTGAACATGTTAATGATTTTAAACTTCATCCGGATCAGATTAGGTCTTACCAGTTCCATTTTTTTTAAGCCCGAATAAGTAATAACCCTATTCAGATTTTTTATATATATTATCACCATCAGACGGCACTAGAAACCTAAATGTTTAATTAAACATGAAACCCAATCGGGTTTCTTCGGTCGTTTTTTAAGAAGGTTGACCTAACCCTAATATAAGTGTTTTTTTTAAGTGCTAACAAAGGTACTAGGAAAATTGGTAGCCTATCCATCCATGTTTCATCTTGATCCCAAACACAATTGGTATGGGCTAACAAATGCGCTGGCTTAATTTCGGCTGGATCCCTTCCCCACTATAAATAGAACCCTTCCCCCACTTACAAATCACACCACAACCAGTACATTCTTTCTCCCTCAATTTATCCGGTCTAGTCTCTTTCTAAGTATGCTCTGTGGTTGCGGCTAAGTCCAATCTTCCACATCAGAAAGAATTATTAGAGTTTGACCCTAAAGCCCCCGTCCCGCTAAGTTCCCGTCCCTTACAAACCTCAACCCGTCGAACCTCTGTCCGGCTTCCGCCAAAAAATGGACGAAGAGGCTCTTCGTGTAGGTTTTTGGTTTATTTTTTTGATTTTTTTAATCGAAACAATTTGATTTTGTGTTTTTTTTTATCAAAACAATCTCTGATTTCATTACCCTTTTATAGATGGGTGCCGAGATATACATCCTCGATTGTATATCCATTATGGCCCAAGGGATGCGAGACTCTTAACCGATCAAGAAGCTCATCGCTCCCGTGCTATTTGGGATAACAATCCGGTAATTTGATGATTTATTTGCTTTATTTTATTATTTTATAAGGTTTTATTTTGCTTTATTTAATCTAATAAATTGATGTTTTTCCTATTTTTTTTTTGTAGGAATCACTTGTTCCCGTGGTTCATAAAGGGACCACGAACTTGCCCGCTTGGCATCCAAGGTTGGCGCCTTATATAGAGAGGACCGGTTTGGGAATGTTGCGCCATTTCATGCGGATCGAAATCGATAACGATCTGCTTACGGCAATGGCGGAGCGATGGCGTCCCGAAACCCATATGTTCCACCTTGCGGAGGGGGAAATGACGATCACCCTCAAAGACGTGGCGATCTTCACCGGGCTGCCTATTTCTAGAGATGCCATCATTGGTTCCACTACCAAACCCGAAGGAGGTTGGGGGCCGCTCATTCGTGATCGTTTGGGCTTGGACATGCCGACCACCACACCAATTCAAGGACGGGGGCATCCACCGTTGAATGCGGGGCAAGTGTCGGTCCCGTGGCTGGTAACTCACATCCAGGTTGAGGTGGAAATCAATGACGAGACTCCGGAAGAACAAGTGGAGCGCTACGCCCGCATCTACCTCATTGGTTTGGTGGGTGGATTTCTGTTCCCCGACAAGTCGAACCGGTGGATTCAAGGCATATGGTTGGAATTGCTCACTGGTGACTAGGATGCAATCGGGCAAAAGAGTTGGGGATCGGCCGTGCTAGCGGACGTATACCGGGAGCTGTGTACTTGCTCGAAAGTGGGAGCAAAGCAAGCTGGTGCTGCAATGTTCATCCTACAACTGTGGGTATGGGAGCATCTTCCAATGTTCGCACCTCTCGACTCACGTCCATACCGGAGAAACGATGATGAGCTAAACTTTCTGCAACATTCCCCCTACGGTGTCAAGTAAGTTTATTCCGTACTTAGCCCAATTTAAATTTTATTACATGCTTAGCTAGATTTAAATTGAATTTATTCCGTACTTAGACTAATTTAATTTATTATATGCTTAGCTAGATTTAATTTGAATTTATTCCGTACTTAGCCCATATTAAATTTATTACATGCTTAGCTATATTTCAATTAAATTGATTCCGTACTTTTACTTACAAGGTGGATAGGAGCAAATACGAATGACCATCAACCTGAGCATTCATTGCTATTTTATCGTTCTGAGTTAGATAAAAACCTTGGTGGAATCAGGTAATCATGTTTTGTCCATATTTGAACAAGTTAAATTTTTTCAATGTAAATGGTCGTTAATTCCGAATTTTGAATGAATATAGGTTATATGGGATCCATATCCACGTGAAGTGGTTGAGCTGCATCATCTTAGACACCCTCTGGATCACGAGACGTGGTTATGCAAGGTGTCATTGATCTGCTGGCACATCTTGGAGTGGCACCTACCCGATCGATCCTTGAGGCAATATCGAATGGAGCAACCAATTCCACAAGACCCGCCTCAAGGTTTCAGGGAGCTTCATGCTATCGACCTCCGGCACGCTGCAAAGAACTGGCTCCTAAAGCATCAGTTCTACATCAACATCTGGGAGAATCGAGGGACATGGGTGGTGCAAGGGATTCCGGAGACGAGACCGATGAGATACCATGATGGGTACATGCAGTGGTATCGAAAGTTCACCATGAGATGGGTGTCAAAGCAAGGTGCTGTGATGGGTTCGTTGGTAAGTCATCCTAATCTCCCTCATTCTAAAATAAATTTATTTTAAGGTTTAGTTAATTTGATATATTTTGTGCTTTCCTTAGGTTGATGGTTTGGAACACGCCAAGTACACTCTCGAAAGTGCTCCAACCATGGATGAGCGGAAGACTTCTTGGTTGACCCGACTTATGAACAACCTCCTGAGTTGTACCAGAGAGCAAAGGAGGGATGTCGTGGCCTATCCTCCCATTCCTGCCCCGGCACGACCCTCATTCGGTGATGATGAGCCCATTGTGCCCCCGGTTGAGCCCCCACGAAGGATCAACATGACCACGATCACCAACATTGTCTTCTCGCTCATGTGAAGTACGCCCTGATCGAATGGTATTCTCGATTTCAGACCACTCTGGCCCCCAAGCAGGCCATTGACACCATCGGCCTCAACAAATGGGGCTGGTTGATCCCGTTGCGAGTATTCTTCCGATGACACCCATCCTGCACTACTACCTCCACCATAGTTGCTTGAACTACCACCCTCTCCGTAACCTCCTGTATAACCACCGCCTTCGTAGTTGCTCGAACTGCCACCCCATTTGTACCCTCCTGCAAAACCATCATCATAAGAATACTGTTGAGAATGAGATTCACCGACCGCCTCGGTCTCAACATACACCTATGCAAGCCGCACTTTGTTATCGCTTAGGAACTGTAACATCATCGTAACCGCGTCATCATCGTTTATGACAACTTCTTGGTACACGACCCCGCCAGCACTCATGTCTGGATACCGGTAAGTAATTTTGCCAAGTCTCGTCTGTCCGCTCATACAAACCCTGTCTGCACAAATATCACAGAGTTCTTGAAAATTGAATCGCGACTCAATTTTCAGCATAGTGGATTCGCCGTCCTCATAATCAATGCCTATGTCAGAGTTTGTCACCCTTCCATTCCACCGAATAATAAGTCGAAACTTCTTGAATTTACCATATCTACAATTTACAATAAGTATCTATTAGCTTAACGATAGTAAAATTAAACAAAACCATATTGTACAACTAATATTATCCATCTCATAACTAACGTAACATAAATTCAACTAACTAACAACAACATAAATTCCCTAACTAACAAAACATATTTGCTACGATAAGTAATTCATAACATAACAATATAACTACTAAAAACATCATTAGGCTATAATACGAAAATTAAATCATACTATAACTACTAAAAACATCATTAGACTATAATACGAAAAGTCTCAACATACCGAAAATTCCTGTTTTGTGTATTATGCTCGGTTTTGGTTGCTGAAATTTGAATAAGGGGGAGTGGTTATGTTTTTACAACTGCTGGTGGTGTGGTATTTATAGGAAAATCTGCCTACTATTCACCGTTTTTGTCGAACACGGTGAAACCATCACCGCGTTTGTGTCAAACGGTGAATAATAGGTAGCTGTGACCTAATTTTCACCTACCAGGGGTGGGAAACGTGGGAAAAGATCACCGTCTTAACCTACAACGGTGAATGTATTCACCGTGTTGCCCTAAAACGGTGATGTGTTCACCGTTTTTAACTAAAACGGTGATATAGTCACCGTTCTGATCAAACGCGGTGAATATATTACTGTTTTAGATTTATACGGTGAATACGTCACCGTTTTTATTTTAAACGGTGAAATATTCACCGTCTTTGTCAAACGCGGTGATATTCTTCACTGCGTTTGTCAAAAACGGTGAATGCCAAACATGTGTACTTTGGAAATTTTTTTATAACTTATGTATTTTGGGAATTTTGTTTAAGAAGTAGTGTACTTTGGGATTTTTCCCAAAAAAACAAGGGCAGACTTACCTTATTAAGACATCGTGATATCTTCATCACCCTATCAGCACAATTCAAACGGCCATTACATAAAAAAAAAGAGTCCATATTCAACTAAACATTAAAAGAGCTATCTATTTCGAAATGCCATTCAATAATTTGTATGGACGAGCCGCATCATAACCCCATCAATAAAGTAAACTCTTTGCCTTACAAGACTGCAACTCCAAGCTCAAGTCAACTGATACAAATGAACCAATCCGCCAACCCAAAACACAAAAATTTATCAAAGTCAAGCGCCGTTATTTAAGAACATTTGGGAGGGGAATCAAACAGCACTCACATTGTCCTATTTGCTATATTGGCAGCTTCTTATTCTTCAGCCTCTTACTGCAACTTGTCCAACGATCAATGTCATCCAAGTATCTCACTTTGACAATCATGACACCCTCATGAAGAGTCATAGATGCAAAGTACTTATCATTGTGTTATCTGGTTATAAGCGCAGTAACCATAAGAGCCAAACACACTGGGAGAGAAGCAAAAGCTGTTACCTTTTACCAGTTTCAATGGCAAAGCTTGACAAAAACCAAGTAGTGCCACTCTTTCTCACTTCCTTTCTCCTGTTGTCTTGCCTTCAATCAACCTTGGCTTCCACTGCAGACGAAGTCCGAGCTCTGCTGAAATGGAAAGAGGGTCTCAGGAACCAATCCATCCTCAGCTCATGGGCTATCCCAGCAAACCGAAGTTCGAATTCCTCTGCTGCTAGTCCCTGCCGGTGGTTTGGAATAGCCTGTGACGAATCAGGAAGCGTGACAGAGATTAACTTGTCGTACCTTGACATGACAGGTACCTTGCAGAACCTCAACTTCTCTTCGTTCCCAAATCTTCTTCGACTCGATCTTAAATACAACCAGTTCACTGGCACCATCCCACCCACCATTGGCTTGCTTTCCAAGCTCCAGTTCCTTGATCTCTCCACAAATTCCCTCAATGGCACTATCCCACTCTCTATTTCCAACCTCACTCGGGTTTATGAGCTTGACCTTTCTAGAAATAACATAACCGGAACTCTGGACCCCCGCTTCTTCGCCAGAACTGGCCTTGTTAGCCTGAGAAATTTTCTTCTCCAAACCACTGGCTTAGGTGGCAGAATCCCAGAGGAAATAGGAAACCTGAAGAATCTTTCCCTCATAGCGTTTGATGAGAACCAGTTTTCTGGTCCTATCCCTACTTCTATGGGCAACTTGACAGAGTTAACCATCCTTCGCCTCAACTCCAATCAACTCTCGGGATCAATACCGCCAGGTTTAGCATTCTTGACCAAGCTGACTGATGTCCGCTTGTTCAGGAACCAATTGTCTGGTATAGTACCTTCAGAGTTAGGGAACCATTCTTCCTTGATAATCCTACACTTAGCAGAGAACAACTTCACCGGCCATTTGCCACCGGAAGTCTGTAATGACGGGAAGCTGGTGAATATCAGTGCTGCATACAACAATTTCTCTGGTCCAATCCCGAGAAGTCTCCGAAACTGTCCTCCCTTGTTCAGAGTCCGTCTCGAGTACAATCAACTAGAAGGCGTTTTGGAGGAAGACCTTGGGATATACCCTAATCTCACTTACATGGATCTGAGCTACAACAACTTGACAGGTCAAGTCTCTCCCAAATGGGCAGAAAGCCAAAACCTGACGTATCTAGCACTTGCTGGGAACTTCTTGAGTGGGGAAATCCCAAATGAGATTCTTCAACTCAGCAAGCTGGTAGTTCTTGACATCTCTGAGAATCAAATTTCAGGAGAGATCCCAGATGAGATCGGAAACTTAACCCGATTGGCGAGTTTAAGCCTAAAGGGAAACAGGATTTCAGGTCAGATTCCAGTTGGGATAGGAACATTGTCAAGCTTGCAGTCTCTAGACCTTTCAACGAACATGTTAAGCGGCTCAATTCCATCTCAACTTGGAGACTGCTCTCGGTTGCAGCAACTGGGACTCAGCAGCAACAATCTCAGTGGGAGCATTCCATATGAGATTGGCAATCTAGAAGCTCTACAGGATTTGCTTGATTTGAGTTACAATTCGTTGACAGGGGAAATACCTTCTCAGTTCAGCAAGCTTACCAGGCTAGAAAACTTGAACCTCTCCCACAACAGTCTCTCTGGTTCAATCCCTCGTTCAATGAGGGAAATGCTGAGCTTGGTCTCTCTCGATCTCTCCAACAACGACTTGGAAGGGCCGATTCCCGATAGCGACGCCTTCCTTTCAGCTCCATCGAATGCTTATTCCAACAACAAAGGCGTGTGCGGCCAATCGCAAGGATTGAGAGCCTGCGATTCCACCGTTTCCACGGGCAGCAGCTCCAATCGTTCGAACAGGAGAAACAGAACAGCAATAATCATCGGCGCCCCCGCAGGCGCGCTGTTCCTTCTGCTCGCCGTAATTGGAATCCTAGCATTTCTCCGCAGCCGGAGTTCAGAATCCGCAGTGAGAGAGGAAACAAGCAGATTCACCGACGAAGATCCAATTTCGGTCTGCTACTTCACCGGCAAAATCACATACGACGACATCATCCAGTCCACGAAGAACTTCGACGAGAGCTACTGCATCGGGGAAGGAGCCACCGGGAAAGTTTACAAGGCGGCGACTCCCGAGAGCCGCCGAGTCCTGGCCGTCAAGAAGCTAAACCCTTCCTCCCCCCCGCCGACGGCGGGAAACACGGAGGAGGAACTGAAGAGCTTCGCCAGCGAAGTGGCGGCGCTGACGGAGCTGCGCCACCGCAACATCGTCAAGCTGTACGGATTCTCCACCGGCGGCGACCACACGTTCCTGGTGTACGAGTTCATGGAGAAGGGGAGCTTGGCGGATGTGCTGAGGAGCGACGGCGCGGCGGCGGATCTCGATTGGGAGAAGCGGATCGAGATCGTCAGAGGCGTCGCCGACGCCTTGTCGCACATGCACCACGACGTCGTTCCCGCGGTGATCCATCGGGACGTGTCGAGCAAGAACGTGCTGCTGAACTCGGATCTCGAGGCCCGGGTTTCGGACTTCGGGACCGCCAAGTTTCTCAAGCCCGATTCCTCCAACTGGACCGCGTTTGCCGGGACTTACGGATATGCGGCCCCAGGTAATTTTAAACCAAAAAGCCCAAAAGCCCAATTAACTGGGCTCAGCTTTTTTCCTACTCGGGCATGCATGGCTTTCGTGGGTGGTTTAATTTGTTGTTTTTTATTGCATGCAGTGAAAATTGTGTTTTAAAAGTTTATGTTTTTATATTTTAGGTAATTAAAATACTTTTACAGCTAATCATACTTTTCACTAGTCAAAATCTGTTGTTTAAAAGTTAAAATTTTATGTTTTTACTCTTTTAGGTTACAGAAACGTTTCTACGTTGAATTACGATTTTGACTTCATTGTTTGTATGTGAATGCAGAGCTGGCGTACACGATGGCGGTGAGTGAGAAGTGCGACGTGTACAGTTTCGGCGTTCTGGTGCTGGAAGTGGTGATGGGGAAGCATCCAGGGGAGCTTCTGACGCGTTTGAATTCGTCGGCCGGCGGCCGGGGGATCCAGCTGGAAGATATAGCAGATGAACGGCTGCCGATTCCGGGCGGGGAAGAGGAAAAGCTCTGGACGAAATTGGCGCTGGTTTTCAAAATCGGCGTTTCTTGTATCGTGACTAGCCCGGAGTTGCGGCCGAGCATGCGAAACGTTTCGAGACTCCTTGAAAGGCAGTTGTAGCCAGCGGGGGAATGTTGAGTGATTGTACACCTGCGACAGATATTTTAATTTGAATGTTCTTAAAGATAGTAGGACGATTGTTGGTACCAATATTGGAATGTAATGTGTGGTGTATTTTATCTTATCTATTTACATTAATCAATATGCCAGCTTTTGGGAAGTTTAGTCTTGAATGAAACGATCTTGAATGAAATATTTAGGGGGAGATATTTTTTATTTCAAGAGAATATGTGAAATTTAGCATATTTTTATTTCGATCACAATGTTTTTTTTATCTTTTGTTAATTTATCCTTTTTAATATTTATTTTTAACTTAATTTAAATAATTCACAATTGGAGATTATGTGGCTTTTCTGAATTATTTAATATTTATTGTGTTTATTGGGCGGTGACGTGGCGGGTTGATTGTTAGTCAACGCGTTTGACTGCCCAAGATAACGGTCAAATCTCGGGTTTTGCCAATTTGATAACTTTGATGCATAATTGAGGCCACAATGTTATAGATCGAAAATATTGACCATGATGTTTAGACAAACATTCAATCAAACAAGCTAAAACGTAAATAACACTCGAGATTTTAACTTGGTATCGTCAGTTATGACCCCAGTCCATGGAGAGGATCTCCCTCTCAGGTTTTAGTATTATATTTCGTTAACTTTCAACGTAGCATACAGCTGGGTATATATAGGTTTGCTAACACAAACCCTAACTACATAATTACATATTGGTACATATATTAAATATAATCAACACCCTCCCTCAAATTGATGTTGGGTACGCAACATCAATGTGGAAGATAGGTACCAATGTCTACTAGAGGAAACAGCCTTTGTCAACAAATCAACAGTCTGTTCCTGTCTTCAAATAGCTTAGCTGAATCACTCCCTCGGCAACTAATTGCCTGATGTAATGGACAAGTACCTCAATATGCTTTGTCCGATCATGTAGTACTGGATTATTTGCTATTTGAATAGCACTGGTGTTGTCTCCATATACATGCATTCTTTTCACACTCCACACCTAGTTCTTGAAATAGCCGTGGCAGCCACACCATTTCAGAACTTACTTCTGACATCGATCTATACTCAGCTTCTATAGATGATTTAGAAACTTTATCTTGCTTCCTGCATCTCCATGATAGAAACGATAGCCCAAACTTTAACTTGACATCCTGCAAAGTCGGCGTCAACGAAAGCTTCAATAGAAGGGGGTTCCATCGCTAGGAAAGAATAATTCAACTTCTGCAGTACGCTTTAGATAGCGAAGTAATCTGTCACAGCATCAAGATGAGCGGTTCGAGCAGCTCCCATAAATTGACTAACGACTTGTACTGCATAGGCAATATCAGAACGAGTGTGAGTTAGGTAGATCAAGCTGCCCTCAACACTGCGATAGAAAGTTTGATCCTCTAACATCTCACCGTCATCCCTCTTCATCTTTAACTTTTGTTCCATGGGAGTGTTACCTGATCGACCCGCATCATAATTAGTGGCCGCCAACAAGTCCTGAATATACTTCTTCTGCCTGACAAATAATCCTGCCTTAGTCCGAGTCACCTCCAATCCCAGAAAATAAGATACATCTCCTAGTTCCTTCAAATTAAACGCTGAATGTAGCGAAGCAGTCAGCTCACCAATTCCTTCACCATCGCTACCCGTTACTATCATGTCATCAACATAGAGAAGTAAGACAATCATGCCATAAATAGTATGACAAATGAACATAGACAAATCATTTTGACTCTGTAGAAAACCAGCCTGAAGAATAGTCCCATGAAATTTCTCAAACCAGGCTCGAGGAACCTGTTTCTAGTCGTATAACGAGCGTCGAAGCTTGCAAACCACATCTGCCCCGCCTTTTGAATACCCCTCAGGACATTCCATATAAATAGTTTCCTTCAAATCCCCATGCAGAAAGGCATTCTTCACATCAAACTGAATAGTAGGCCACTGCTTCATAGCTGCAACAGCAAACAAACTCCGAACAGTTTGGATTTTAGCAACCGGAGCAAAAGTCTCATCAAAATTAATCCCATATTCCTGTTTGAAACCTTGAGCTACCACTCTAGCCTTAAAGCATTCAATTTATCCATCCAGTGCATCTTAATAGCATAACCCAACGACTACCGATAATAGTAATACCCGGAGGACGCGGGATAATATCCCACATGTGCTGAGCTTCTAGAGCATCAATCTCAGTATCCATGACTGCATTCCATCATGGATCATCCTTAGCATACTGATAATAAGTAGGAATTGAGATACCGTGCTCAGTAGAGTATCCCACATAGTCCTGGAGACGTAGTGGTGGTTGTCCAATATTTGCTCGATTGGAGCGACGCGGGACAGGCAAGGGAGGCGGTGTGAGTTCCATTTCTTGAGTACCATCAGATGTAGTGTAGGAAGAGGAGTTGCTACTTGAAGAAGTACCACTTGAAGAAGCCCCATGCGTCGACCCACTTGAATAAGACCCAATTAAAGGAGATGTTGAACCCGTAGAGGAAGTTGAGGCAGAGTGACCAGATGGAGTTCCAGGAGGCGTTACAATGTAATTATCATTCCCCTTATTCCCTCCCAGTGGGTTAACACCCGGTGCAGTGCCAACATTTGAAGAAGCATTAGAAGAATCAAAGGCATGAAGTGGCACCAGGAAATCGAGTGAGGAGAGGGACGTGGCAGCTGATTCTTGATAATACATGGCATGTTCCAAAAAAGTTACATGGCAGGAAAAGCGCATTCTTTGTTCAACAAGATCATAATATAAGTACCCTTTATGTTGATTACTGTAACCCACGAAAACAAACTGAGCAACCTTGGGAGCTAGCTTATGTCGTGTCTTCTTGGGAAGTAAGACGAATCACACACAACCAAGGACGCGAAGACATGAGTAATCAGGCAGCTTAGAGTATAGACAATGATAAGGTGATCGATCGCCAAGAACTTATGTGATCTGACGATTGATGAGATAGACAACAATACTCACAACTTCAACCCAAAAACCATTCGGGACATGCGATTGAAACAAAATAGCACGCGTCAATTCAAGAACATGATGATGCTTCCTCTCTACAAGTTCGTTCTGCTAAGATACGCCAGGACATGATTGTTAAGGCAGAATACCTCAGGATACATAGAACTCGTGTAAAGGGGAGGCAATAAATTCCCCACCAGGATCAGATCGAATAACCTTCACTAGTCCAAATTGAGTCTCTATCATCTGCACAAATGATTTGGCATGATCTACCAACTCCAATTTCTTGCGCATAAAATATATCGAGGCATAGCGAGTCTTATGGTCCACGAACAAAGCGAAGTAGCGAAAACCCATCCGAAGTAACAGGTGAGGGGCCCCAGAGATCAGTGTGAACAAAATCAAATGGTGAGTCATACTGCGTCTCACTTCTAGTGAACGAGGATTGAGTAGCTTTAGCTTCAATACAGCTAAGAGCATCCACATTGGTATTGCATTCTCAATTGCAAAATGACATGGCATAGGTGTTTGCAATTCCAAAACCAATTGCATTGATGTGGCTACCAATTGCATATTTGCAAGCTTGCAACAAATGCAATTCCATATGCAAGTAAAAAAAGCCTTAAAAAATGGGGATTTTTTATTATTTTATTTTATCTTTTACTTAATTTTCTATAATTTAAACATAATATTTAATTACATTTGCAATTGCAAGTTAATTGCATTGATGTAGGTGAATGAAATGAATGTGATGTGGATTGCAAAAAATTTGAGTTGACAATTAAAAACACAAATGCAATTTCTTTTGCAATACAACCCGGAACCTTCCTACTCGTTCCCAGAACCTTCCCGGTGTTCTGATCATGCACAATACATTCGTTATCATTAAAAGTCACTGCGCAACCATCCTCGATCAACTGTCCAACATACACCAGACTAGGAACTAATTGGGGAACATATAATGTATTGGCCAAATGAATATCTCCTGTTTGTGCAGTTCCCAAACCTGGGACCGATTCTGCCCGCCAATTTGAACTGGAGACTGAATTATCCTTGTTTCAGCAGGGGATAGGGATATTCAATCTTACTACCCAGCATCCCAATCTTCCACATCCTTTGCGGCAGCATCGGTCCCAGGCTTGGGACGAGTCCCATCCAGAATCGAGAGTAAGCGCCGCCCAACCACGAAGCTACGGAACTGAAACTCCCAGAGAGGGAAGTTCGTCCGTCCAGCTTGGTCGTTAACATATCTACCTTCCTAGAATCCATAGCGAACAACAAGCAAACCTGATGATGATTGGAAGAAAACAAAGACCCGCAGAGAAGTAAAGCAGGTTGGAGACAAAGCCAAATCAGCAACCAATCCTGAGAACAAAAGCGAAGCCAGGACATATAAACCCTAGCAGTAGACCTGATGAATAATCCAAAGCTGTCGGCTCAAAAACCACAGCTGCAAACCTAGCCAACGAAGAAGATTAGTCCGTAGGCTCTGATACCATGACAAACACTCAATCAAACAAGCTAAAACGTAAATAACACTTAGAGATTTTTAACGTGGTATCGTCAGTTATGACCCTAGTCTACGGAGAGGATCTCCCTCTCAGGTTTTAGTATTATATTTCGTTAACTTTCAACGTATCATACAGCCGAGTATATATAGGTTTGCTAACACAAACCCTAATTACATAATTATATATTGGTGTCTATATTAAATATAATCAACAGTTTAATATGTGAAAAGTTCGGGCCCTACAAATATATTAATCCAATTTACTGCCCAAATAAAGAACCCGACTTGCAGTCATCGCCCCGTGATGCGATAGGTTACTTGCTTCTGCTGAATGTTGATCTTGTACTTGGAACAAGTAGTTGGTTAGCATGTTAAATCAGTACTAAAGTGCATTTAGAGATCTGTCTACTTGGAAATTTTATACATGTGCTGAGTCGTCTTTGGGTCTCGAGGGATTTCAAAATCTCATTTATTCACCCATATGATCAAGACTTTGAAATCGTCAAAAGTTTCTCAAGTCATGATGATGACTTTTGGTGCACATATCAAATCGTGTACAGTCTGCAGATGTATGTGTGGATGCAAGGAACGAGCAATACCGTTTCAAACTGGGTACTGTGGTTTGTTGCAGACGAAAGGGAAAGCAATTAAATTCATGAAGGCAATTGATCAGTAGG